CTCGGAGAATTATTTTTTGTAAACTTAACTATGAGACTCACAAATTTACAACGCACAGAAATGAGCGAGAAATATGACGTACACGTAATATGACGACCTTTCCCGTGGTATTTATTTTGCAATAATTTATGATACTCCTCTCGCGTTACGTTATTACGACCGACAAGCATCTGTTATTCGGTACTTAAATCATTGAGAAGCACCGTCAAGATCGATCAAAAACGTCATCGGAAGGATCGCCACGATGAATTTAGCAAGTCAAGTGCTCACAAAAACCTCAAGTAGTAAGCGAAACGACCAATCGTTATCTGACAGTCGAGAGTACTCGATCGGTCACTCCTTGCTTATTATTTGAGAAGATATTTTTGTGCATTCACGATCTAACATTTTTCAAAAATACTTACGATAACATTCGAGTCGCGCAAAAAGTTTTAATTTCAATTTTTATTGTCGTTATCGCCGCGAATAATGAATATCGAGCGCGCGAGTTCTATAACGTTTCATTAACGTTTGTTCGATTATAAAACAAAACACAAGGTAAATGAATAAAGCGTGAAATGAGACGGCGTATTTGCGTAATTATGTCATAACCGTTCTTCTGACATCGTTCTTCATGTGGAGGATACCAGCGCATTATCTTTTTTTTTCTCTCAATTATGACATCAACTTTTACAGTCATTAGCCTCGGTATTAGCGCCAATGGGACACGGTCTTCCCAGGCTGTCAACCATTCAAGCATTGACCATATCAAATGTTGCTTAAGTTTTGTTAATTAACTTCTCAACCCGCGGTGAATTCCGCGCGCCGTCAAGTTCAACAACGATCGTTCTGACAGTATTATCATTATTCGGCATTCATTTAACTTTTCATATTTAAATTCACATTAAAATTCATATTTAAATCATATTTAAATTTTGCACACTCTTTGCCATGTAATTATATCGCGCAAGTTTAAAGGGAAAATTTTTTTTTTTTACAACAATTTAGTCTTGTTCTTCTGCGTCATAAAAACGCTTAAAATCTTCTCTCAAAAGTGAAAAGCGGCGACGCGTTGATTTTAATTTTGAAAAAAAGTAAGCTTGTCGGTCAGGCGGACGGAGTGTTTTGAAACAAGTCGTTGTTGTTATTTTTACTTACGTACGTCCTCGATGTGATTGTGACAATACTTTGTTTAAACGCGTGCATTTTGCGAAAATAATGTAAACTCGAATTTTACCTCACGCACACATATCTCCGCATCGAGAAAAAATGAAAAAGAGTTCGCGCGATGGTGCGTTTCTTGTCCAGATAAGAGCGGATAACAAAAAATCCACGAGTAAACATCTCTCGCGACGATCTTCCAGGAATTCCGACGTCAATATTAGCGTATCAGTCAAGCGATATTCCGAACGTGTTAAGTTTTTATTAGTTTTACCGAAACATAGCGTATAAATGCGCTGGTAATCGACAATGTGCGCTTGCGTTCACACACAACATTTTTTTTAACGACAATCGCGATCGCAAGCGTAGATTATCACGTTCGGAACGTGCCGAATTTCGCAGGATCCGCTTTGCAACAACACGTTAAACGCGAATAAAACTAAAAATAAAGTACCCGTCCGCGGACCTCGTCCCGTCGTATTCTAATATTTTCTGTGAAGCGTCGCGCGCCATGACGAATTCTGATTGACGCCGAGGGTGGGGTCAGTGCGCATATCGGAACCCGAAAGGTGCCAACAGGGTCTCGGGAGCGATGGTCGATAAATATTAAACGACTTTCCACCTGTCGCGTCGTCATCGTCGTCCCCGATGGCGGAGAGGGAGGGAAGCACTTCCGAGAGAGAGATGACTGAATGTTAATCAGCGAGGCGTGACAAGTGTTAAGTAATTCATCTATCCTACCCACACGCGTGCAAAAGGAGGAGTCAGCTTATAACGCCCGGTAATTATAATGCGACACTCTCGCACGGCACCACGCGCACCATCATCGGCGGCTTCTTCATACGAGCGCGCGGACACGTGCAATTATCCGACGATTTAACAGTTAACCTCAGACAGGTGGAAAGTAAGACGGGCCAACAAACTTAGTCATGATTTACGAAACTCGCCGACTCGAAGAAAAGAATTATATAGAATTTTATGTACGCGCGTGTGTGTACGTGTGTAATATTTATGTCAGCGCGCGCAACATTATTGTGCATTATTAAGTTTAAAAATTTGCGTATATATATATATATATATCGGCGCGATGACACACACAATATACCCAAAACGTCATAACGCGCGTATGCTCGTCTCGCACATATATACATATCTTACGTTCATAATGAAACCGGTCGTCATGACGCGTCGATTTGTATTAATTAAAACGACCGCGTTCCCGATGCCGGTCGCAGATAAACGCGCGGTGCAATGTTACAATGTTACCAAACAATATCCCGGCGTTAATCCCACATACGTACGTCGCGGAGCGTCCCGATGTATCTGCATTAAAAAGAGCATTTACATTACGCGCGCGAGTCTCCGGGTCTGCGCGCGCGCGCGCGCGATCGCTCGAATCGCCGAATCATAGTCCGGCTCCGATCCACGCTTGTCGATTAGATGTATCAGTGTAATTAACAACAAACAATAGCTGCGAGAGACGCGCGGACTTGATATCGTGTATTAATCGATTACCCTCGTCGGTCGAGCCCCGGAGATATGCGCCGGAGCCGGCTGTTAATCATCACCGCGGGTGCGTTTGTACCACCGACATTTATTTCTTTTTTTTTCTCTCTTCCCTCACCCCTCCTTTGATCTTTCTCATCTCGTGTGAGAGAGAGAGAGAGAGAGAGAGAGAAAGACCAATAGGTCTGAATATTTTGTACGTACATAGCCCTGAGGACTTCTTCCGCTAACTACCTTTGTAACACGTCATTCGCCTCCCATCTCCCGCAACGGAATACCAAAACCAACGTTAACCATCTCTCTTTTGCCCGCCGCGAATTCCGCTTCTCATGGGGACGTGTATCGCGCGAATCATCTATTGATTAACATCGATTGCTTCAACTATTCAAACGAGAATTACAAAACGAGAACGGTCCGTTTTTTGCGTCCCGAAACGCGCGAATCTTTTACACGAGCGCAATAAATGTTGCGAATGTTTATTTGACAGAGAAAGAAACGAGTATACATTTCTGTGTATATATAATTTGCTAAAAAAAAAAAATGTATCAATCTTTATCAATACACAAGAGAATTTTTATTGTTAAATGACAGAAAAAAAAAAGTTGTCAAACTTTTCTGCAAATCATTACGCACACAGTTCAAAATTGCTGTTGAAAAAATAAAGTGGCACAAAGTGTGTAAGAGCAAAAATAACGTTCGGCCAAATTTCTGATCTATATTGTGCGATGAATCGGCACTGCTTATTG